GATGACAATAAAACTCACAATCCAGTTTTCTTTCTAGGCCACTCAAAAAGAAGTGCTCATTTACAGAGTATGCAATCGGCAAGTAAAAACCGCCAAAGTACCTTTAAGATCACTTGAATTGATTATTTACATATTTGATCAACTCCGAAATACATGGATGACAATGAGTAACACAAACTTAACAAGAATAATTTAGAAACAGTCGGTGGATAGAAATATGTAAAGAAGTGGCAATTAATGAGGTCTATTAGGTTGAGTTCATATCATTATTTTTTGTTTGAAAACATTAGTACAAACAAGAAAACCATAGTATTAATTTACTAACGAGAAAATATTCAATCAAGATCTTGTTAACCATTACTTGCATAATAAAACGGATAACAGCAAATACATTAATGGAAGCTGAGAAATGGAAGTGGGTGTATGAACCATGACAATTCTATCACAATGATGTTTTGCAGACAAAAAAACAACAACAAAATCATCTTGATATCATAATAAGTTTACATTCTCTAGGCAATTTACTACACTATTATCATCATTACTTCATACAGCGATATGCACTCATATATATATATATATATATATATAGTAGCGCTGTTAAGTCGATCATTAACAAAAGGAAACATACTACTACAATTCAGTAGTTAATGTATAATATGCAATAACAATATTCATGTCAACGTTAACATTTCCGCTACCATCGGAAAGTTACTAAAAAAAAACAACCCTAAAATGAATGAACAGATAGACAAGAATGAACTACTTCAGTATATAGTATTAATTGCAGCTTTTAGATAATAATAATAATAATATAAATAGTTAAAGAGTAAAATGATAGTGTTGATTTTCTTTTTTTTTCAAATGTTTTCCTATAAAATAGTCTTAATAGTGTTGATTATAATTGTGGTAAACTACTAGTGAAATTGAATCAAACATCAAATGTACCATATGAATAGTTCATTTCAATAAGAAATACAAAGAAGTCAATTGAGATTCCATTAGAAAATCTTCAATTTCTAACAAATCGATAGCGGTAAATAACATGGTAGAATTTTATTTCAGTAATCACTTGTACATGGTAAGTAATCATTTTGAATATTATGGACAGATATTTTTAGATTAGTAGATATTAGCAAATTGATTAAACAATGAATACAGATGGATCATACTAGTTATCAATAATCATAGGATAAAATAAGTGGATGATAATCTCTTATTTTACATGTATAGCAGTTCAAATAAGGTAAACATATAGTTAGAAATCTAAAAGGTTTCATTATTAAATGATTGAATCTGCAATTACTAAATACAAAGTTCGAATGTCATTCCATTGACCTCTGTACGAAAGAAAATTGTTAAATATCACTGGCAGTTTCATACAATAAATATATGACTTAAAGTCGAGGACACTTATTTATACATAACTACTGATTAGATGAGTACATCCGTAACTAAATAAGCACTAACAAACTGTTCAATGATTAAAGACGTACGTCTCGTCCTATTTGGGACTTATCAACTAGATGCACTTGTATTTCGCTGTTAATGTTCATAGTGAAACGCGAACCCAGTACCCTTCTTATATGTGCATTCAGAGCGTCTTACCTCAAAGTTATCATTTAGTCACATTTTTATCCAGTAGATAGAAACAAAGACCCTGATATCTAGACTGTTGTCAGATGAAATATTGATTCATAGTATGAATTATTCCAACAAAAAATTTATCACATTTTTAACTATTCATTAATACATTCCTGGATTAGTGACGATAAAGTGTGGATGTAATTTGGCAAGCAGATATGAAGTTATATTATGTGAATATAAAATAATAAAAAATGTTTATGATAATAAGAATAGCATTTTAACAAGGAAGTGTCTGTGTTTCGACAAGAAGAAAGAATAATGAAGAACTGATAAATATTGATAGTAACTTTTTGAGGATAACAGTAAACTGAATCGTTATTGACAGTTCGCTTGTAGAATTTTTATATTTCTTTAATTACAAGTTTATAGGTTTTCAGTACAGGAATTCAATGAAATACAAGTTAACATTCAATTTATAAACTGTTATTATATCATCTGTTTTCAGATAATTGTACTTCAATCATAATTCTAGGATTATAGTTTTTCCACCAGAAATGCCCAATTTTTAGAATACATTGCAATCACCAAATAATAACTAACTGTTTCGAGATCTTGAACATTCTTCACGAAAGATGCTGAACGAGTATTGTAGTGAACGAGAACACGATCGAGGACAACCAAATGTATCCGAACATGAATAACTTTGTCAAATCTGAGAACCATACAGTAAATACTTCATTTGCAAAATTTCAATCAACCATCTGAGATTTGACTGTCCCTTCTTTTCCACACCAATCATTTACTGTTTTCGTTCTCTTTTCTTCGATCTTCTTAACCTCTTGACGCCAGACATTCCACCTTCGATTGGTGTTGCATACTACTTATATCTGTCGTTATCAGCACCATATATATATATATATATATATATATATATATATATATATAACAAATTCTTCTTAGTGACCTTTTAAATTTTTGCTAACGAGTTTTATGAAATAACCGTTATGTATTACAGTTCTCTTGATATTTTTCAGATAATCATGGTGACATATGTTGAAAATATAATATTAATTAGAAAAGAGCTTCGAGGTGGGTTTGATAACAAGTCAATGGGAGTTAGATAATCATTAAAAACAATTAAAATCTAGATGAATGTTACGAAATTATGGGCTGAACAGGCAACAAACTCTAGATCTTGAACTTTAAATGCTAGTCCATGATTCAGAAACTAGATTTGAAAAAGACTGATAAAACAATAGACACTTTACTCAATGATAAACTATTTACTACTATATATTGAATCCTCAGTATAAACCTAATCAACATACTAGTTGAAACGACCAGAGGAACCCCCATGCACTACCGAAGACATGAATTTATAGTAGTATTGTGGTGTGCGCTACTTATATTGACATAAGTAGCAGATGATGTTAGTCATGAACAGAATGTCTGGCAGCAGAGAGACAAGAGGATCGAACAGTAAAGAATGAAAACAGAATGTAATTTGTATGAAAATGCAAGAACAATGAAGTCTGGGTTATTATGAGACAATTGGTGGACATTTTGCAAATTACGTATTTACTATTTGATTGTTAAATTTTATTAACAAGTCCTGTAATTTTGTGTCTGATACATTCGATTGTCCCAACCCGTGTTCTGTTCACTAAGGTATATTATCTGCAAACAAATTCCAAAGCGCATTTGTAAATTTGCCATAAGTCTTAAATTCACTACCTCAAAAAGAGACCAAAATTTATATTTTACAAAGCTGAATATTAATAGTAGGAATATCATACTTCCTACAAAGGTTTCGATCTATTTAAGCAACTTTCTAAAACTACACTGACAATAAAAATAACCTTAAGTATCAGATTTATCTGAAATCTCAATAAATATTTATTTCCAGAATGGGGATTTGTGGAGATTTTAGTAATTTTAATGGTTGAATTCATGAATCGATCTAAGCTAGACCACCATTAAAAACCTGGAAGCACTGGACGGCCGATTTGTCCTAGTATGAGACTCCTGATTGGTAGTCTGAATTAGGTCGACTCATGAACTCAACTGTTAAAATACTTAGTTGTTAATTCCTTAGTGCATTAGTAGATGCTGTTTATGAATTAGGTAGAAATCAAAAGTTATTGTAACTAAAATAAGATAGATTATAACTTAAAACCAATCATAATTGAGGTTCAATCATTAACTCCAGGTTTTAATTATGCGAAAGAATGTACAATCTTATGATCTTTTTGGCAGTATGACAGCCGCTAGACTATAAGGTTGAAAACTGCTTACTTGAAACAGATCTATTAACTATTCTTACTCATTCAGTAGACAAAATTTATTATTAAACACCTACAAATAATCTATTCGCTCATTTATATGCTACTATATGAGAAGGGGATCACGAACAAATCTATTATTGTAATTCATTTTTTATCAGCCTAAAGAAATTAAGGTCCCTTCTTTCATAATCATAATCCATCCAACTTAAAAAAGGGTTCATATCATAGATGATACAAGTAAATAAAATTTATCAATGAAAAATAGTCCTTGATAAGTATCTGTGGTTTTACTGAAAAGCCTAAAGTGTAGGTAAAGTGTCTACCGAATAACCTAAGCTGATGAATAAATTGCACTTTTGGGTATAAATATAAAGATAATTGATCTGCTACTAATTTACGATAGTGTAGACCAAAGAATGTAAGACTTGTTATATATTCTGAGTGATAAATCAATAATGCCTAGCTTTAAAATTCCATGCAGGAGAAGTGATGTATGAATTTATGCCTTTGAACATATTCGTATACATAATATGTGTATGAATATCATACCATATATATATCGCTTGCACTGTGTAAACTTTTCATTAAGACAGACGACAAGTTTTCATAACAAGCAAACGAGCCAAGGCAGTTGTTAAATAGTACAAAAGTTTCTAGGAGGATAAGATTAGCAATAAATATAAGATCTGTCTTTACAAGAATCGACTTCTGTTAACTATTAAAACTGATAATAAGTTTGAATTCGTTTTAACAAACCTAACATATTAGGATGACACAAGTATGTAAGTAAAACTGATGGGATTTTTAAACGGAATTAATTAATTTATCATTAAAAATGCAACATTTTGTGAGAAAATCATGTAAAAAATGTTACTTTAAATGCCAAAAATATGTCATTAATGTCGTATGGTTTTTTCATGAGAGAAGCCACTTAAAGATATTGCTGCCAAATACGGATACATATAGAAACCTCATCACTCAAGGTCAGAGATGTAAACTTTATGTTAAAGAAAATGTAATTCACACTTTTAAAAAACTACTGATTTAAACGGTTTCACAAAAAATTTCCAAGTGACTAGTTTTAACCATATTTACCATATTCTAATTCTAATAATACGCTAAACTTACCCATTAATATAGAACAAAGAGAACAAATGGAAGACAGAAGATGCAAAGAAGAGTGAGACGATGGCAAGACCATAAACGATTGCCGCCACTGATTTAGAATATGTATCTGCCTTTGAATACAGTCTAATCATTCCAGCAACACCAAGTGGAACACATGGAACGTGTGATATGCAATTAGCTAAATGTTCAACCGTCGTTGGATGATAAGCTTTACCAGGTTGAGCTGGAGAATTTTTCCATCTATTATCAAACCAGGAGAAAAGTTAAACAATTGTAAGATATAAAACATGGTCTACGTCAAGGAAAAATGTATGTTGAGTATACTATAGTAAACCTTAAGCATTGTAAAACTGTAGTCAGGGGATGTTATAAATAACATGACAATAGCTAACAGTGCTCTTAATTGAGATGAAAAATGTACAACTACAAACGTCCCTAACATTTCGAAACGCTGTGTGTTCCTCTGCAAAACAAACAGCTAGTGATATTCTAAAACTTGCCTACTAAAGTAATACAATTCAAAATATCAATACATTTAGTAGTTAGTACGAACTTATAAAATACCTCAAAACCATGGGAGTAAACTCAATTTTTAAACACTTCCATGAAACCAGTTAAATCTCTGCAAGAGAACCACGAATAACACAAGACTGTGTTAGGGTCTGTATTTATTGAGTCACAGAATATCCAGAGCATCCGTTGATTATAGCCAAATGCTTTAAAAGTAAGTTAAACTGGTGATATCTACTATCAGAAAATCCCACTTTGAATCTAATTTTCACCACTCTATTGGCAAACGGTTGCACTTATATCTGTGGATTACTACTCCTCACCAATCTATTTTGTTGAGATGTTCAGGAATTCAATGAGTGCATTGAGTAGATAGAATCAAATCCTGACGACATATATACTTACTAACCACGTTAAACCTCTTTTGAATCACCAGGATTTCGTGCTTAGGATATGAAAAGTTGGGAATTTAAATATATTTAGGATAAATGATGGTAATTATTTATAAATGCATTCACTTGGTCTGAGCCCCGTAGAAACAGTTAGAATTAATGTAATTAACTAAATCACGACTCGTGGTCAGAACTTGAACAAATCGACCAGAAATAAATCGCGTTAACATAAATCCACAAGAATATGCAATATACCCAACCTTAAATACTGTCTGATTTCATATCACTTTAGTTCTTGAATTCATCAATCATCGACGATTGACAATAAGGACCCTAATTGCAGCCTCGGATAACTTGTTATCACCACACGCATAACAGTTGTTTGAATAAACCTATACATAGTGGGGCTGTAATTCATTAATTTAAATATTTGTTTCTGTATGAATATTCACACAACTCCTGTTTCAGTAGAATATAACAACCAACGATTGAGAAGTCTGATTTCTGCAGACTACAGTATAAAAAATAAGAGAATGATCCTTACATCACAGAAATTAGACCCATAAGTTTGAAGGGCTTTAATAAGCGGATGCACAATCTCATGGCCGAGAATTAAGGAGTTTGTAAAGAAAGTACATATTGTTGGTAAGATAAACGTGGGAAACTGCCTATTATGGCGATAATTCACAAAATATGACAAAAATCACTTAATAATACGTTCACATACCTCCAAGTTCTCCCCATATTGCACATATGAACTTCATGCGGAAACTATACGAACATAGATGAGCAAGTTCATAACTTGCACCTTATCCATCTGTCCTTGAAACTTCAGGGTCCGAGTGTCCAATAACCTTGCAACGAGCTCAGGTTAACCAGTCTATTGCTTTACGTTCGTTATTTTGACAATGAATTACGGTCGCAGGTCTTCGATGTCGTTTAATGTGTGTATTCTGTCCTCTTGGATGACCGCGCGCTTTTCGAACGGGAAGTTTAGTCCTAACGTGATTTGTATTTATCAAACTTTTGCTGTGTTATTACGCAACAAAAGTACCACTTCAGTTCTAAAGAATCTATCTTGAGCTATACGTTCGGTAGATTACTTTTTTGAGTTTCACCATATTTAATAGTTACCTGTGGTTTTGCCTCAGCTTACTATTCGGTTTTTTTTCACGTATAGACTAGTTTCAGTTTATATCACTCGTTGTATCCATTTTTGTCCGTTTTCAGTGTGCTTTTTAGTGTTTTTTAAAGGTCTTAGGCTTTTGCAAGCATCTATAACATAGTCTGCTTCAACATAGTCATGAAAAACTCATGCAAACGTCCGGGATGCCGTTTTGCTGTTACAACTGGCATGCAGTGCGACAACTGCAAAGGTTGGTTCCACGAAGCATGCACAGATCTGACAGCAACTGCTTACAACAGACTCAGCAAGTCAGACCGAAAGTGGGTATGTGTCACGTGCAGCACGGACGCTGTAGTCTTGCCGAGTAACATCATTGTCCTACTGACAGGTCTTCGGAACAAGTTGTCAGTTTACTTGGATAACGATAGTAAAAAAACCGGTAGACAAACAAGAGCGTGCGACGGATACAAAAATAGGGATTTCGACAGGTATACCATTGATGGAGCATCCATCAACACTAATGTCGACGGTATTAGACTCCCTAAGCAAACTCGGGTCTCCCAGCCCAGGGTCCCTGAACACAACAGTGGTTCCCAAAAACCCTGCAGGTGATTCAACCCACGTTAAGAGAGCCCAAAAGAACCAGGCATCACCGCCTAAGCCGAGCAACCCAAGTGTTGCTGTGCGGAAAATAACCGGTGATTTAGTCGCACAGTCTACCCCCAAGACTGTTCGTCCGGTCAATAAAGAGCCCAAAACCTTAAAACGCGCACTGACATCCAAACAACAAGTTATTAAAGTTATTAAACCTGAACCCATCGTGCAACCTGGTAAATTAACAACAGTTCGTGACGATTCTCTCATTATCATGAACCTCGTTGACAATCCTGACCTTCCTCTCAGTCTGCAGGACAAAAATGACAGGATGCTCTGGGGTGAATTGAACTAGAAGCTCGAACTTCCTAGAATAGAGCCTTTGACGGTCACCCAGCTCACTCGAGGAAAGGATTCTAAGCATCTAAATCACCCGATGCTTCTCCGAGTAACACTTAAGAATGCTACCGACGTAGAGGACGTCTTGCTAGCAAGTCACTTGCTGAAATCCGATGGTAACGTAAGAATATTGCCCGACATACCGTACTCTGAGCCCAATATCATACGGAACACCCCTAAAGAATCTCGCGAGAAGTTTTTCCGCGGAAGAAACATAATTGTGCAAGGTATACCGGAAAATGCAGACCCTACTCAATCAAATTCTGACATCAGGGAATGGAAATTCATCAAACAGTCCTTGAGGCTCAAACACATACTGACTCAGCGTGTGACGAGACTAGCCAAGAAGGACGGTGATCTTAGACCTCTTCTAATGAAAATAACCTTCCCATCTTCCCACATGGAGGCTGCAGTTCTGGAAGCATTTCGTGCCAACAGACGTCGATTGCCACCTGGGATCCACATGCACCCGGATAGGCCATATGAAGCTAGGACCAAGCACAAAGGCATGTTGGAGCTGACTATTCCACTTGTGGACTGTCTAAATGATAAAAACGACGTGTAAAGGACAGGGCCTACCACCTCGGCAAACCTCATATAGGTGGGCTACCTGTCCATTCACACAAGGCTCATACAGAAAAACAGGACGAAGCTCACGCGTTCCAAATTGAAAGCATAAACTGCTTATATATGAACGCCGCGAGTCTACCAAACAAACTGGATGAATTACGTGAACTTAACGACGCTAATAAGGCCCATCTGATAGGAATATCTGAAACCTGGATATCTTCTCAGTTCTCGGACCAAGAGTTAGCATTACCTGGGATGACTTTGTTCCTCAACGACAGAAAAACAGGAATTGGGGGCGGAGTAGCCATATACATAAGCTCTTGCTTGGAGGTGCACCAAGTTCACAACCTCGAGTTTAACAATCTTGAGGAATCCATATGGTGCTCTGTTAGACTGTCAAGTATTCGAGGTATCTAGTCGGAGCCATTTACAGGAAGCCAACTGCCGACATCGAGTACGATAGTCGTATGCTGGAAGGACTATCCCGCTCTACCCGTCTCGGTTTCACACGCATCCTGATTCTAGGGGACTTTAATCTCTCTAGAGTCAACTCCGCGGAACACACGTACACTGGAGGCGACAACTCAATTGAAGCTCGGTTCATCAACCTCATCGATGACTTGGGATTGTTCGAAAATGTGAGGTCGGCAACTCGTTGGAGAAACAGTCAGACACCATCGCGCTTAGACTGTGTATTCACAAACGAAGAATTCCTAGTTGACAACCTCTCAATCCTGGCTCCTCTGGGAAAGAGCGATCATGCCGTCATAGCCTTCAGTTTTGTCATCAAAACTAAGCAAAGGTATCCCAACAATAATTTGCGTTGGAATTTTAAACGGCTGAATGTGCCAGCTCTACATGACTATCTACAACAGGTGGTTTGGGATGTTCACCCTCAACTCGATGTGGACGGTCATTGGGACTTCTTACTGCATACGCTCCTATGTGCTACAAACCATTCAGTTCCTCAAACGGTTCCCAAAAGCTGCAAGCCACCTACAGTAATCAAGAACTGTAATTTTCGCCTGCTAAGCCGCAAAAGGCACTGTTGGGCGGAATACAAACGAACTAATAACGATGGAGCGTATAGGCAATATAAACATATCAGGAACATATGCACGAAGGCTATAAGAGAAGACAGGCTTCAGTAACAGACAAAGCTTATGGACAAATTTGCCTCCAACCCTAGAAGCCTATTCCGTTATGCAGCCCCTCTTCGTCAAGCCAAAACAGGGGTTTCTCAACTGCTAGGTCTTAACGGCCCGACCAACAACGATGGCGACGCCGCCAACCTTCTGGCGGCACATTACTCTCAAACATTTCAACCGGCTGACATCAACTTTACTGACGACAGTTTCATCTGCAATTCCACAGGACTTTCCGAACTGGACCTAAGCGCTGACTTGGTGTTCCGGAAATTGAAGCACTTAAGACTAGATACTTCTCCTAGCCCGGATATGGTTCATCCTGCCATACTGAGGGAGGCAGCCTCAATCCTGGCAACGCCTCTTAGCGTGATGTTTTCACACTCGCTAAGCCGAGGCAAATTACCGGAAAATTGGAAGTTGGCTCACATCACACCAATTTACAAGGGAGGTCGACGCAACGAACCTTCAAGTTATCGGCCGGTGGCTCTTCTGTCATTACCTTCAAAACTCATGGATTCCCTGATATGCGACGGTTTAAACGACTATCTACTGTCCTTAAATTTCTTCTCACCCCAACAGCATGGTTTCAGGAAGGGTCACTCTTGTATAGATGACCTGCTGACTGCGGTGGACAGATGGACAAGCATCCTCGATCGCAAGGGAAAGGTTGACGTCATTTACCTTGATTTCTCAAAAGCTTTTGATAAGCTTAACCACTTGTGTCTTATCAATAAGCTCAAACGACTAGGTATCAAACCACCTCTAATCGATTGGCTTACTTCATACCTAAAAAGTCGACACTTTAAGTTTAGGGTTAATTTTACTTTATCTCAAGCTATGGAATGTCCTAGTGGGGTCCCTCAGGGTTCAGTACTAGGGCCTCTTCTCTTCTTGATCTACATAAATGATCTTCCTCAACAGGTAACGTAAGACTTATTACTTTTTGCCGACGATGTGAAACATTGGAGAGAGATGCGCCATCAGGACGATATACAGGCACTTCAGGAGGATCTGACTCGACTTCAAAGTTGGGCAGACGATAACGGACTTACCTTTAACGCTTTAAAATGTAAAGTAGTCCATCTGCGACATGTCTCAGACTACAGTTATAACTTAGGAAACTACCCTCTAGTAATATCCCGAGTCGAAAAAGATTTGGGACTTTTGGTGCCCTACGATTTTAAGTCTTACGCTGTGACAAAAATGCCTTCTAGGCAAACTTTGCACTGGTAACATTGAAGCGCATTTTGGCCAGCTGGATGGAAGAACTTTCCGTATAATCTTCAATAGTTTTATCCGTCCCCATTTGGAGTACGGAAACATAGTATTTCCCCCCTCACTCCAAAAGGATAAGGACACCCTGGAGCGTATCCAAAGGCGAGCCACGAAATCAGTTCGAGGACTCAAATTTAAACCTTACGAAGAACGCCTCCATTCACTTAACCTTTACCCATAAGAGTGTAGGCGTGTTAGAGGTGATTTATTAATGGCTTATAGTATTCTTAACACTTCTGGACACCCTCTTAAACACCTACTTAAGCTTAGTTAGAATAATGAACTAAGGGGTAACATCCAGAAACTGGAAACACAACATAGCAAGACGGAATGCAGACACAACTTCTACTCCTTAAGAGTTGTCAAAAGCCGGAATTCGTTGCCGGCCGAGCTAGTCCAAGCGACTTCTCAAGAGTCCTTCAAGAGGCAACTTGACCTGTTCTTAAGGACCAAGGACAGCATCACACTATGATTTACCAATTTCTTTTCCTCTTTTATTGTTAACATACCTAGGTTCCTGCCTGGAGGATTTGGTGATCTCCTGCTACTAGACACGGAAGCCTGTTAAGCGAAAGCTTCTTATATTGCGTCCACAACCATTTGAACCATTTGAACTAATACTCGTAGATGAAATAGTTAATCAAGATAAAATATTCACCGAATATGAGTGCCCAAGCTCCCAATTTCGGGGAAATTTTGGGAAAGCCGCCATAGTAAACTTTGAGGAAAT